GTTTGGACAGACAGAATGCTGAACATGAGCCAGCAGTGTGCTCAGGTGGCCAAGAAGGCCAATGGCATCCTGGCCTGGATCAGGAACAGCATGGTCAACAGGACCAGGGAGGTGATTCTGCCCCTGGACTTGGTGCTGGTGAGGCCACACCTTGAATACTTTGTGTAGTTCTGGGCACCTCAGTTCAGGAAGGATATTGAGGTGCTGGAGCAGGTCCAGAGAAGAGCAACGAGGCTGGTGAAGAGACTTGAGCGCAAGTCCTGTGAGGAGAGGCTAACCAGCCATAGGACAAGAGGGCAGATTGTTTATATAACCAAATTTAGTAATATATCTCTGTGAAATTAGCAAAGGCTGTTCTGTTTCTTGCAGGACAAACAGGAAGCACAGGCCATTGCTGTGCTCTGTTTTAATTTCCATGCTAACCGTGCTCTGTATGTTCTTCATTTTCAGTTTGTGAAAACAATGAAGACTGTCCTCCTGGCTCCTTCCTCACACCGTTTCTCCAAGCTGTCTACCTCTTTGTGCAATACATCATCATGGTCAACTTGCTTATTGCTTTCTTTAAGTAGGTACCATGGTATATTGCTGCAAAAGCAACTAATGTATGTTCTGTCACCATTTCTCAAAAACCTTTCACCAAAAATACCCCAGCAAGGGCATGTTGTTCGTCCATCTTCCATGAGGGTAAGGTAAATAAAAAAGAATGGTGGTAGCAAGACAGTGTGAAGAAAGGTATAGAGGGAAGACACCTAAACTGTTTTGACATTTGAAAAGAATCTGACTCAGTTAAAGCAGACAATTCCAGTTGGCAAAAAAGCAACATTAATCTAGTTCTGAAGTAGTTTTTCCTTTGTTCCTAAAAGTTGTATTTGTTATGCTGAGAGCCTATGTAATAATAGGGCAGCCCAAGCCTTAAACTGGTAGATCAGTGGCAAAACTGTTCTAGGGAAGAGATTAATGACTGTAGAAGTATGCTCTTCCTTTAGGAAAGAATTTGAAAATTCCCATTATTTGATGCAATCTTGTCCATTCTAGACTGAAATCTAACTATAGTGTTTTTAACAATCTGCCTTTTAATGTCTGCTGCCAGAGTAGGGAAGGTCTTTATAGTAATTCTTTAGTAACTCATAGTAATTCTATAGTAATTAATCAGTGTACAGTAGTTCTAACCATTCAAATTTTAACAGGGAACCCCTTATACTGGATCAAGTTCCATAAAATTTTAGTGAAGTAGTTAATTATTTTTTCCTAGAGTTGTTAATTATTTTTTCCTAGAGTTCTAGCATTTCTGGGGAAGAAAAAGTCAGCTGAAGTTCCAAATTAATAAATGTAGTGATTCATATTCAAGAAAATTGATCAAAATTCACTCTATTCCCACTTCCAGTTAGAAATCCCTTTGCTGAAATTGTGACAAGGAATCAATTTATTATTTTTTACTACACTACTGTGAAATTGTAATATGAGTTATTTCTGGAATTAAACCTTCAGCAGTAATGATATGCTAATTCTTCTGCCTAGTGATTTGATTTTTCCAGAAGTGGGACCAAAAATGGGTGTGAGTAATATATTTAATGATGCTCTCAGAAGCAAAGCTGATGTGTTTGTGATTATATGCTGGGTGTGTAATAGACCGTGCAACAGAAATTACGGTGCCAGAAACCAAAAAGTTGCTTTCCTGTGTTTGGGTCTATGATACTAGATACAGAAAATTATTCAGTGCAACAGCAGCCACATTTAATAATATCACAGCTCCAAAGCGTATTCTGCAGAAGAACGGCTCATGTAGCTGCAGCAACTATCTCATTTAGGGGGAGTGCAGAGAATCATTTTGTTAATAATCTTCCCTTAGCGTGATACCTACTTTGAAACCAGTCCAAAGAGGCGGGCAATGTTGAACTCTCAGCTAGGCTGTGTATTAAAGTTTAAATAATATTGCTGAGATTTCAAAGCCACTTAGGGGATATGTTTTGCCCAGTTTCCACTAATGCCAATGGGAATTGGATCTCCAAATCTGTTAGGTGGTTTTGAAGATCTCATTCTGAGTGCACTAGTTGCAGACACGTGATTTTGAATTGTTATTGAAGGTTTAAGCTGATTTACCTCACTGGAGGGATGGGACTTTTCTTCAGTGTCAGATTAGATTTGCAGTTAAGCATCTTGTGCTGTATTGAGAGTATTCCTCACAGGAGCATTTTACCCTCCTTTCCCCCTCCATCTATCTCTGTCTTCTCAGCAATGTTTATTTTGATTTGAAATCCATATCGAACAAGCTCTGGAAGTACAACCGGTACCGCTACATTATGACCTACCATGAGAAGCCATGGCTGCCTCCACCATTCATTCTCCTGAGCCACATTGGACTTCTGATAAATCGCATTTTCCACCATCAGCCCCAAAATGAGCTGGATCAAGAGGAAGGCGACGTTGGACTAAGTAAGCTGGGAACTGAAAGAAATACCTGATAAGGATTTGGGTTCCTCCAAAAAAAAAAGGAGGGGGGCAAAAATATATTCTCTGGGTAGGGGGTTGTTTTAATGTGAAAAACTAAATTTGACTGCCTGAGAATTCTTGTAGGAAAAAGTGACTAGGGGAATGCTTTCCTTTGTATTTGGTGTTTGCTGTGCATCAGTCAACGTACCTCACAACTCTGAGCTAAAATAGAGTGTCAGCAGCTATTCTGAAGGAATTAACAGCCTTATTTTAAAAGAAATTAAACAGTAATGGATGTACAAATTTCTGTATGTTTCTTATGAAAAGACCAAAAATTTTTTTTTAATTGCCTGGAGAAAGTAGCTGCAGAGGTCAAGGACAGAGGAGATCCAGTGATGGCAGATGCAGAGAGAGAGCATAGGGGCTTCCTACCTGCTCATTGCTTCCCTCCCTTAGTGCACTGGCTCATCACTGCACCTTAACCTCACCTTCTCTCTTTCCAACCTGGACTTTTCCATCCCAGGGCCCTTCTTGCCTCATTAAGGTTGTGCCAGTTCTCTGTCCCACTGTTGTTGGCTCTGCCAGGAGTAGCCTTAGCAGTTGTGGGGAAGGGTCCACAAGACATTGGAGTGGGAATGAATAATCAGTGGCGGGGCTTGGTGGTTGGGGTGAGCCAGGGAAGTGGGGAGGTGGAGAGGCTGGTGGGTGTAGCATTATCTAGAAAAACACTGGGGAACATTGGTGTGTAGTATTATACAGCCCCATCTTTTTTGATGCAACATACACCCTTGATGCCTAATAGCAGAGGAGAGCAGGCCCTGCCTGGGTTGTGCTTCACTTAGGATTTTCTCTGCTGAACATGAATTCCTGAAGATACCTGGCGTGCTCACAGGTAGTTACAGAGTTCAAAAATAGGTTTAACTAATCAATGCTGAAGTGCTTTACTGCTGCTTCCAGGCTCAGTTCCTCCATCATGACTGGATACATCAGCCTGTCTTTGAAATGCCACGCTTATTTTATATGAATGCGTAGCAAAGTCACTGTCATAGCATAGAGTAAGGAGCACTAGGCAAAAGGAAAACTGAAACCCTGCTTAGCACATCTTAAAGTCCTTTGATAGAAAAAGGCTAATATCTCACTTACACTTCTCTCAGAAGGACACTTTTTCCTGTTTTTTGTACCTCTGTGGCTCTTTTCTGTATACATTCCTTGGTAAGGTTCTTCTAATTTAATTTCGGTGTGGTTATAATTAACTGGTTTTAGCAATGAGGATCCAGTGCCACCTTGTGGAAAATCAGTTAATAGCCCAGGATCCAGAGACTAAAATCTTGGCGAGAACACAAATGGATTAGGGGGGGAAAGGGCTTGGAAGGTGATCAAGTCTCAGTAGGAGTGAAAGGGGAACCCCACAACACTACAGGGGTCTTTGCTGCTGAGCTGTGTGTTACGGCAGAGCACTACATGCTTGTAGCAAACACTGCCTTGTTGCTTGGTGCAGATACACCCTAGCAAGTACAGTGAGAACTCTGGTAAATAAAATAGGTGTTATAGGTGACTGGCCTTAAATGAATGCCTAGACCAAATTAGAGTAAAATTTTTGTGGGCCATACTTGTCTGCATCTAAGTCTTGTGAGTGATACATGTATGACAAAATAAAAGTTTGTGAGAAAATGCATCTTTGTGAGATGCCATTTGGTTACACACTTCGGAGGCTTTAAGGGGGGAGTGCACTGGAATTTTTGTCAGTCTGGTGTTGTTCCCTTTCTAAGGAAAGATAAAAGACACATTTTCATGTATTTGGCACATAAGCCTAAATTCATGGAGTTAGGCCTAATTAATTCTTGTCAAGGGATGGAGTGTAAACAAATTCTGATGGCTTTGTTTTTCCTTATCTTCATGAATGCTTATAAACAATTGCAATTATCGGCATGCTTCATACTGATTCCTACCTCTTTTGTTCAGAACTGTACCTGAGTGATGAGGAGCTAAAGAAACTGCATGACTTTGAGGAGCAGTGTGTGGAAAAATATTTTCATGAGAAGAATGAAAGTCTGAGTTCCAGTGACAGTGAAAGGATCCATCTGACTGCAGAAAGGTGTGTTTTGCTGCAGATTTGTGCTCTTTGTATTAATTTGTCATATAAAAAACGTTGATAAGCTAATGATTTTGAAACAGGTTATAGCCACTGTGAACATGCATAGGCCTTGCTAATTTGATCGAAATGCATGTGTATGGGACGCATGTCAGGCCTGTTGGAGGAGCCTTGCTGGCAAATTGCATCCTCAGATATGTGCATTGTGCAGGTGGTTAAAGGAGTACAGTAAGGTGTTACACAATTTCACTTTTGCAGACCAGGTAGCACCACTAAAACATGCCAGAGGAGAGTATACAAGATAGTTGTTTTTATTTAAAAGCTCAGCATTGTAGTAATGCTTTGAGAGGATTGCTTGTGACTGAGTATAACTGATGTTCACAGAAATAACCATAAAACCGTTGTAGCATTATTTGCAATATAGTGCCTTGGTTTGCAAAATTGCAGTACACAACTGTCAGCAAGGTTTCAGAACTATCAGTATTGGCCTAATTTAGAATTCTATTGAAATCACTGGCAAATCTGCCATTAAGTTTAATGGTAAGAGTTTAAAAAAGTGAACACGATGAAAAATCATACTGAATGCCAATACTGATCTCATCTAGTAAGTTTGCTTGCCTGGAGAAAGACACCCTTTTAATCTTTGCCTGTTCAAAATCTTATTTTCTGCATACTGAAACAAAACACAGAAGCAAAATAAGCATCCTCTGTTAAAGAAATTAAATAAATAACATTGTTCACTTAATTGAACAAGAGTCAGTTACTTCAGGATTATTTCATTTTCTGGGTAAATATAGATCTGGAAAGTAATTTTTTTCTGAATGCAAAAGTGAATCACATTTCACAGCATTGCATAACATTAATGCAAGAAATTAATTTAAATGATATAATTCCAGGCTAGGAAGTTAGACTTTTCACTGGGAATTTGAAGATGCTAAAAAACTTTGCTTTTTGAGCAGTTGAATTTTACCTGAAGATAACTGATAGCATAAGATGTATAGAATCTGCTTCTAAAAGCCAAATAGGTCATTGGGAAGACCCCTTTGCCAGCAGTCTCCAGTACTTGAGAAATACAAGATTAAAGAATGGCTGTAGGTTTGTGTGAGCCTTGTTCTTTTCATGCTTGCACAAGACATGGGGAAATGCAGGATGACTAGCTGACAAGTCTGTTTCCTCTCTGACTGTTGGCTGAGTTTTGTCAAATATACATGTCCATGGGAATTAAAACCACAATTTAAAACAAAAAACCCTCAGCCTGTTAGAAACATGGACTTTTTGAAATGTGTTAATGGCTTCCTTCATCATCTCACAAACATGTAAAGGTCTTTGTTTTGGTATTTTACTTATATTTTCTTTTTCCACCTAGAGTGGAGGAGATGTTTCTGCAGCTTAAAGAAGTGCATGAGAAGGTATTTTATATCAAAGAATCTTTAGTCTCCCTGGACAGCCAGCTAGGACATTTGCAAGACCTGTCTGCCTTGACAGTGGACATCCTGAAAGTGCTTTCAGCTGTAGACACCTTGCAGGTGGAAGAAGCCTTACTGGCTGACCCAAAACATCAAACCTGCAGGAAGTTGCCCCATAGCTGGAGCAATGCACTCTATTCCAAGACCTTGAGCAGCCTGGAGTGTTTGTATGACAAGAAATACCACTACTACAGCATGCCACCCTCCCTCTTTCGGAGCTTGGTAAGGAGCCAGTGTCCATCAGAGTGCAAAGACCATGAATTGCGGTCTGAGAGTAACAAAGTGGTAGAAGACAAGGTAGAAGTGGAAAGAGACACGCTCACTTCAGGAGTATCTTCTGAGAATAAGTCAACTCCTAGATATGGTCAGTTTTTGCTGGTGCCCCCTGACCATCAGGGAAGATCTTTTTCTGAGGATGTCACCTTAAATTTGTCTTTTTTGAGCACTCCTGCCAAGTACAAGGATGAGGCATTCAGAGATGACCTGCAAAATAGCATTGTGGTGCAGCAAAACTTGCCAAATATCAGCCTCATTGGAAAAGAGACAGAATGTTATCAGTGCAGCCAGAGAGACTTTGTTATTCATTTGCCATCAGAAAAGACTAATGCTGTAGGCACTGATCATTCTCTTAGTCTCCAGCATCCTCTGAATATTGAAGATAGTGTAGCATCCCTCTGCAATGACAGGGAAGAAATTGAAGGTGGTTATGTGAACTGGGGATTCTCTGAAGGTGATGAAAAAGGGGTGTTCATCTCAGATTTACAGAAAGCAGCCCTGGGCTTAAATTCCTCCTATGACAGAGATGGTAACTGCAAGAGCAATCCTCCCAGGCATGTCCAGTTAAGACAATCAAAGTCCTTCTCCTGCAACTCTGACTGGTCACATCACAGTGGCAGCATGTCTCAGAACAAGCTGAAACGAAGTACCTCTCTCTGGATCAGCCCGCTTTGGAGGGACTGGAGTTTCTGCAGAAGCAACAGCTTGCGGTCCCATAAGAAAGAGAGATCAGGGAAAACCTACAAGGCTATAGGTGGTAATTATAAAATATTCAACCTGTACCATATCTTTCACTGGAGAGTCCAAGGCATTATAAAAACGTTTCATTTGCATCCAGGAGGTATTAGGTGCAGTTGAGGGTAGTAGCAGAGTTCAGAGTTACTTCTTCACTTTCTTTCTGATGTGTTTGGCTCTTGGGATTTTCTGATGTGTGCCTGGTATCCAAGCTGCACCACACCCATGTGTCAGCCACTTGGTTCTCCCCATCTCATGGGATCTCTATGTCTGTGGTTACACAGGCAGGGTGACAGAAGGGTTGTGCTTGCTCCAGGTAAGTCTCTTGCCCTTAGGGTGGAGTGCAAGAGTTGCCGGGGCCAAAATACACACAAACCCCTGGAGACACATTAGCAGTATCATAGGTCAGATGTGTGCATGGAAAATGAAAAGATATACATTTTTGCAGTCAGTTTAAATGCCTCCTTGCCCAACAACAAGTTTGCTTACCAACAGCTAAAATACAGGAGATTCGAGCTCTGATTAGGACTAGTATGAGATGGTGAGTAACATTGATAAATACTTTGGGATGGTGCACATCTTTGCCCTGAACTGCATGAGTATTAGCTTCGGATGTCACAAGTCTTTCTCAGCTTGCTTTAGAGATCTGCCAATTCTCAGTCTAATCACATCTTCCCTTAATAAACAATAGCTCTGTAGCTTAAAGCTGTTTTTTGACTCTTTCCTGCAGAGTCTTTACGATCCAGTGAGCTACACCACAGTGAGGCAACAAAAGCAAAACAACAAAACAGAGACAAAAAGTCTGGGCGAGGAAAGAGGAATCAAAACCCCCTTCCAGTGCCGGTATGGGCAGATGCAAGAGAATGATATCTCAGAGCAGTTCTGCAGTGTGGTTTATTTGAAAATGTATACATTTAAATGCTGCACACAAATTGGGGCATTTCTTTTATATGTTTATCTTTGGTTCAATTTCCCTTTTGTTTGCTTGTGTGGGATTTCAGTTTTGAACTTGTTGATGCCCAGAGGCTTTGCTAAATTGTATACTAGGGGTGATGCTGATTTTACACAAGAATAAGAGTGTTTGCACTTAAGTTGGCCAGAAAACTTGGGGAGGCTTCATGCAATCTAGGATGGACTGAAGGAGTAGCCATATCCAGGCAATGTACAGCTGTGAACAAGGAAGCTAGGCGTCATAATGTTGTCTCCTGCCTGCAAGAGTCTCACAGTCTTTTCTTCACATCCATCAAACTTAGCACATTAAAGGAAGCATATTGATTGTGTCATATTTGTAACTGTATCTGTGTGTTCACATATAAAAATGTATTTAGAGAACTCTAAAATTCCTTGGGTCATTGTCATCTAGAAGGAATTACCACTGGTGAGATGAACGCTGAATATTAATGGATTTGCATAAGATGCTCAGGTCATCAAAGGATCTTAGACTTGAACTTTGTCAAGTTCTTTCATTACCAGAATTTACTAGACTAAAGCAACGTGTCTTCTGCAACTTGCAACAAAATTGCAAAAAATTTATTTCTCTGTTGGGAGTGTGGGAATGTGTTCAGTCACTGCCATTTCAGTTATGCTCTCAAAGGCCACAACAAAGGCTGTTAGAGGAACTGTGGAAATGCTAGTCATGCTGTATATAAATTGAATATTGTTTTATCTGTGTCTTGCCAGGTGATTAGAGTGGATGGTTGTTCCCAGAACACTCAAGTGAGCTCAGAGCCCGCAGAGATCAATGTCTGGGCTGAGCAAGAGAAATACAGCAAGAATTGTCTCACTGTGTCTAATTTCAGTCAGCTAAGTATGTGACATTTTGCAAACAGGGAATTTCAGAACACATTTAAAAAGAATCAGTAAATAAAAATTCACAAATTCAGAGTGTCGTTCACCATCTTCACCTCATGGCATAGTTTTCACAAAACTAGACTTAGGTTGTAGGCCTACATGACTTGTTTATTTGCTGCATCACTGAAGAGGCAAAAGGGTCATAGGTTGGATAGAAGGTCAGTTGAATCTTTCTGGGATCACTGTGTATCTTGCATGGGAGATAGTACAGTGCTAATCTTCAGGAATAAGTAGGAAGCAAGGTGAATGTCTTTCTCTCCTCTCCTGCTATGTGGTGTCCTGGCTAATTGCAAAAATAAACTCATGATTTAATTGGGACATTTACACTCACAGGCAGTGCTGCAATACTGTATTTTCTGGCAGATCCTCTGCCTGCATTATTCATTTCCCATCGCTCAGAAACACGTCTTCCAAAGAGAACAAATAAATTCTGTATTGTCTCTGTTGGAATGAAAAGGAGTGACATTCTTACTTTTCTTTAAGTAATTCTCCATCTCTTTCATTCTCAGAAGACCTTTGCATAGTTCATTATCTTTCAGCTTTGCTGTGATGTGGGTCACTGGTTTCATCCTGCGAGCTGCTGAGAGAAGTGGGGAATACTGTGACTCAGTACAGTCTGAGGACAGCTGCATTTCTCAAAAATCTGCTGACAAAGAGTGGAAATAGTCTGTTTAAATTAAATTCTGTTAGTGTTTTTATAGCCCATTATGTGTTTACGGGGAGTATATGGTATATAGGTGTTTATTTTATAGCACTGAATAGGTATTTAGCTTACAGAAACAGAGCTGTTCATTTACACTGTAGAAATAACTGACACCTGCTCTCTTGGCTAGGTTTGGAACGTTTCAGATACATGCACCAGAAAAAGAAAAATCAAGACATTGGTAGACATACCATATCATTCTGTGATTACCTGAGGCATTCTCAAGAGGTAAGACCTAAGATTACGCATCCTAGTCCATAATTTTGTCTGGGATGAGTTCATTGTAGCTCTACTGTCATCCCTGGGCTTGCCACTATAGATTTTTTTGTCATGAAATACCTCTTTGAGAGATGAAGAACTTTGTTGTCTGCTGACGCAGTGTATGTGTGCAGGTAAATGAGTAATTTAACAGCTGTTAACACTCTATTAAGATTATTGAACTAGGACATTAAATTATCTGTCTATACCTCTGTCATGCAGAGCTAGTTATTTCTTGCAAACAATAGTTAAATATTAATAATAATTGCCAAGTGTAGATTTCTTAACTAACGGTGCTTATAAGCACCATATCTTATTATTTACCAGAATTAATTTGAAGTTCCATAATCTAAAGGTCCTCTGCCTATGTAAACAAACATAGGTGTATTGACTTTGATATAACTAGACCAATTTATATTTCCTGAAGACTCAGGCTGGAATCTGTATCATGGAAACTACTGTCTGTTTTAAAATAGTGTAAGTAATAGAAGAAAATGTATCATTCACTAAATTTTGTAGGGTTATCTCAGAGGTATGAAAGGAAATTAACAAAGCATAAGTTAAGAAAAGGAGCTGTGAAAAAGTCCTTTCCTCTTCCTTTTCAACAGCTGTCAAGTGCCCTTCCTTACCTGTTTTGTGTATAGCACTCTTGATTATTAAAATCATGATCTTTATTTCACTGTTTTTTTTGGATGAAAAATCAACCAGATAATTTCAGATATGCTGCTCTAAGTCCTGTAGTATTTGAATCCCAAATACCAGGGAAAAGAACTTGAATGTAAATTTTTAAAATAGTATGTTTTTTGCACGAAAAGGTGAAGAGAAAGAGAGAAATAGAAATTTTGTATTCTGTAAAACCTGGCCTTGGAGTCTACATCAATAAGTCTTTGAAATGTGAAACACAGGATCAGACAAGTGAAATGAAGGTAAAGTCAGGAAAACTGTGTGAGGAATCAAGCAATCTGGTGCTTCAAAATTCATTTTAAGATACTCTTGGATAAAAATGGAGGGTGGGATTTTGAAAAATTCTCAAAACAATTCCACTGATTAATAGGAGGATTGGAGTTAGGCTGAAACTAGTCACTTCCAGAATACTGACTTCAGATTACTTGTTCTTTCAAGATATAATCCCCAATACCTACTGCATTGTTATGCCTCTTCTTAAGTCCTCTCTGGGCTATGATGAGATGTAACAAAATTGCTGCATCCAACAGTTCCACTTGAAGTATGATATATTTTAAGGAAATGTATTTTTCCTAAAGTGTTGCATCTCAGATTTATCCATTGAATACTAGTGGTTCAGAAATCCCTTCTGATGGGTACCAAGGAGCAAAGCAGGGGTGTGTGTAGTAAGGTTTTGTTAAAGGTTTTTACATCTGCAAAGCAAGCTACAAGGTCAAAATCTGACTGAAAGAAAAAAAAAGTGAGTTAAGTTTCATATAATATTAGAAGCTGAATTTCAGTTTATGTATCTTATCTATATGTAACTTGCTTGTCCTTGAAATTTTTTGGCAGGGCCTATTTCTTTTGAGGATTGAAATCTGCCTGACTACTATTCAGAAGAATAATTCTGTTTTTGACTAGTACATTAGGAGAACATGGCAAGACCAATTTTTCCTAATATGGCTAGAAGTTGAAAAGACTATTTGAATGTTTCTTTAAATATAAGACCTGGAAAATATGTGATCTGTATATCACTGGAAAGCTGCTCAGTGTGTTACCTTCTTCTGTTATAGGGGTTTAGAGTACATTTTCTTTTCAACAGGTGTAAAACCTGTCCCTAAATTGAAATTTTCCAAGACAAAGAAAGTTCTCTAATACTGTCCATATTAGAAGACCTTTAGCAAGGTATGTGAATGTAGTGAAAGATAAGTGGGAACCTGAGTATTTCATTCAATTGTATGAAGACAGCATGGAAAAACTGCAATGTGAGCAAATTAGTTCCCCTTCACTGTGGGTACAGAAGTGCTGTGATTCAGCTGCCTGTCAGTGTCATTATTCATGTCAACAATAAGCAGATCAGTAAGTGTTTTCAAGATTGTACCCTTTTGAGCTGTGCAGTATGTATATGATAATAATGTGCATATTTCACCAGCAAAAGTATCTCTCTTCTTTAGGATTTCAGTAATAGCATATTTGGAACCACCAAGAAAAGTAAGCCGAACAGGAGCTCCAGGTATATATGATTAATATATTAAGATACTCATCACATGTTTGCAGAAAGAGACTTCTAAACTGTCTGCAGGTTTTCACTTCAGATTTTTTATATACTTGGGACAAGAAATTTAGGTGAAATGAGGAGTTAAGGCAATTCTGATTGTCTAAGTTTCTTTAAGGGAAGCCTTATTGATGGAGATAAAGGAGATCCATTTTAATGAAGTGTATGATTTTAGGTGGAACTGGCACTCCTTTTTATTCTAACAATAATCAGACTTTCTGCTTCAGTCACTAAGGTGATGATTGGACTTGATGATCTTAAAGGTCTTTCCCAACCTTAATGATTCTAGAATTCTGTGGTTCTATGACCATAGCATCTTTAACTTGCCATTTTTCCAGTCTAGTGAGCACGAAAAGTTGAATTTGCTTTTACTGTGCAAATTGCTCATTTTGTTTTTTAATAATTAAAATGTTAGCAGCTCCTGAAAGCTTCTCTCATTGTCTGATTAATCCTTTTTTTTCTGTGTTGCACATATACAAAATACTTAGCTTAGGTTTCTTCATGAAGTTTCAACAGTTATTGAGCTTTGATTGTATTTAGTGAAAGTATACTGTTTTTACAAGTTTTTTATTGTGGGATTTTGATTTTTTCCCTGGACTGATTAATCATTATCTTAATATTGGGGACATTTTTTTGCCACATGAAATGCTGTCTCTATGTTCCTTTTCCTGTAATTTCTTATTCTCATCAATTTCTTGTAGGTCTCTCTTATTTTGTAGCACTATGGATGTAACAAAGAACATACTAGGAAGCTGTCCCATCCCAGTTGCTGTGTTTTTATGGCTTTTACCAATGTGTGTGGGTTTTTTGGTTTTGGGCTTTTTTTTCCCCTTTGTTTATTTTGTTTTGTCACTTTGGTGGGTTTTTTATATGTTTTGTTTGTTTGCTTACACCTTGTCATTTATAGGCAGGAGGTAAACTACATACTTACCAGCAGGACATACAGGCTGTTGAGTGGCCTGATTCTGTCACTTGGTCTGTTGTCTTCTATGGGATATTTCTGGTCTTTGAGGTGAATCATATCGGCTGTGTTCTGAAACAAAGACTTCTTTAATGCTAGTGGTGATATCTTTCTGTAACCAGACTCGTTAATCCAGAGAACTATCAATTAAAAAAGTATTTTTAAAAAGCAAAGGTAATGGCATAGGTAGCTGTTAATATGTATCAGCATTGATTTAAAAATTAACAATTGCGTGTGTGATTGAAGGGTCTGTAACTGATATAGTTATTGCAGTATAAACAATATGAACAGCGGTACAGAATCAAGAGCAGCTCAACATAAAGGGAAAGAAACATGCAGAAAAATGTGTCAGTTCTTCAGTACCTGAAGATTGTTTACTGATTGTTGCATTGAACATATGTGTTCCATGTGTAATAATGTTAGCTTCATGATAGAAATTTTGGACTAAAATATCAAATATTTGCTTTTGAACAGGTTTAGAACCTCAGAGGAAATTGACAGTAAGTGTTTCGTTACTTGTCAGTCATTTGAAATCCCATCTACAAATCTCACTCTGACAATTTTGAAGTACAAAATCCAAAAGGTGGTTAATTTACTGTAGTTGAGGGTTATAGGAAATTGTGCAGATGTTTTTTCATGTGTTAGTTACTAACTTGTACTTTAAAGCGAAGGATGTTTTTTTGAGGACATGTTTTTCTCATAATAACTGGATAAGAGAATTTTAAATTGTTGCATTCTAGTCTATCTGACATAACTTGCAACTAAGAGGCTGAGCAGCTGGGCATGTGATTCCTTTTGAGGCTAGCTGTGATGCAGAAATGAGTTGCTCTTAGTCTTAACACCACTTCAAGTGCTGCTTTTTCTATGTTCATCTGTGCACAAAACACTGCAGTGTCAAAGCACAGTGCTGCAAGCAAAGTGAGTTGTGGGGCTGCTCTCTAGACCACACCATTGCTTTGATTAAAATCCAGTTTTTCCATCCTCAAAAGGAAGAACTTAAGCACCTTTTCATGTTTTGTTCTTTTACAATATATGAAATGCAACAAACCTAATTGGGTCCAGCCAGAAAGAAAGCACAAGGAAATTTGAATCACCAAAGGCGCTCAATAAAAACGCTGGTCCTTCCCCAATATCCACGGATGTTTTTATATAAGAAGTCTTTCACTAGATAAGGGAGTATAAACAAATAGAATACACCAAGAAGAAAAGTGTTAAATTCAAAAATTTTTATGAACACTGTTTTTATTATCTCATTCTTTTCAGAATTAATAGTAGTATCGTATATATATTCTGCAGTCTGGTATTTTGAAGTACTGTTTTCCAGCAAAACAAAATTATTTCATCTAATTAATATAAATATGCTCATTAAAGTGAGTGTATTAAAAAGACTTTTTATGAAACAAAGACTTTTTTGACAAAATTTGATCTGGCCATGCCTGCTAAATATGTAGCCACAGAAATTGTTTGTCTGCTTATATTTTGACAGCATTTTAGATTCTGTGGGTAAATGGGACAGTATTGCTGCAACTTTGGTGCAATAGTATAGTTTTAATGGAACGCTTAATGACTGAGGAAAAATCAAGCCTTTGGGAGGCTGTGAAGCATGATGTACAGCAAAAGCCTTTTGATATCCCAGAGGTATAATTGGCTTAGCAGGTCCTTCAGGCTGATATCACAAATTTCCCACCATTTCCCTGAATAGATAAGTCATCTGCCTATATTACATTGATGACTGAAATCTACCTATATACAGTACATTATAATGTAGTTAAAGACCTTAGTAATTCTCCTCTTTAGAATGCTGAAACACTAACTCTGATTAATCTGTTTCATGATAAACTCTGGAATGTAAAGAATTAGAAAAAACCATGTATTTGTGCCTGCTATAATAATGAATGCAACGATCCTTTAAACATTATTTCAGATATCTTTGCCTGCTTGAAAACATCTCAAGATTTGCATCATCACTACTCAGGTAAGCAGGAGGCACCAGAATGATAGTTGAGTAATTTAAGAAATTAAAAGAAACATTAATTCTGCCCTTGTCATTCTCTGTGATTTTCATTTTGAAGAGTTGCACAATTGCCACTGCTTATAAGGTACCATGTTAATTCATGCCTAACACTCCAGTGAGCAAATTTTCTGGCTGATAATTGCTCCATTTTGGGTATTTCTGGTAAATACAGGGCAGAATGTAGATAATCACTTTCGAAATGTAGGTGGAAACAATGAATACAGCTCCAGTTCCCGAAGGGGCAGAAGAGGCACTCATTTGTTTATAGCTGTCACTTCCCCTCACACCTCCCACACCTTCCTTTGTACTTTCTTGAATTGGTTTCTTCAATTAATTGGTCCTATACTACTTAATCTGTGTTTGTACACCTATGAACTCCTGAAAATCTGGCAGGGAATAAAACATTTGGATGCTAATTGCCGGCAGTCATGTTTATTCTTGAGCTGAGTGTGCACAGATTTTCCCACAAGTGTTGTATTTCGGTTTTTCCTGAAGGGGAATGGAGCAGAGATTGCCAGTAGATGTCTCTATTGCCCAAAGGACTTGGCCTCCTTTATAAGCAAGATTGGGGTAAACCAGAAGTATTAGCAGGCTTCTGATTCAAAATCTTTGTGGTTTTCATTGGGAATAACAACTCCTGGTTTGTATTTTAGTGCACAGGAGTAATTTCTCTGACATTCTGACATTGTTGCAGTGATTAATTTGTCTTTCATCAGGCATGCTATTTGAGATGAGGGACTTTTTAGCACGATGGAAGTAGTTTCCATTATGAATTGACAAGTGTCTTGAGAGGTTTCCAGTGTAGTTTTTTTTCCTCAGGAAGATTAGGATAGAATTTAGCCAACTAGACCCACAAAAATCCTGCACTATATAGTGCTTATACTTTATTTTTGCTATCATGTTGAGCAAGCAATATAATTCTGCCTCTCGGCACACCCAAAAGAATAGAGTCCCAAGTTCAGCAGCTGGTGCAAGTCCATGTCACATTGCTTCTCAAGGTTATAGAATGACTGCTGACAGTGTCTGAGAGATGACACAGGTTTGGCAGCTCCTGTGTTCACATCCTTGTCCCTGGTATGCACTAATTTTGTCATCGGAGCGTGTTCCTAGTGAGGCATCAAAGGAAGATCCTGATTATGTACATGCTTCAAAACTATTCAGGCATCTGACATATGTAAACAAGCCTTGAAGTGGAGTCTGAAGTGCAGATCTCAAATGAAGACCCTGATTCACGCGTTGACATATCATGAGTCCCCTTTGCTCTACCTTTCTGGACTAAATACTCTCTAATTAATTTCTACTCGGAGAAGTAATCTTAAAAGAAAGCTAGACAGTGTCCAGGATCTTTAAGAATCTGCCACCATGGCTTTTCAATTACTCTGCAGAGAAACACAGCTCTGCTGTGGTTCACTCTCTACTTTGGATGCTAGGTGTGTCTTCAGTCATTGAATAGGGAAACTAGACAGTTAGAACTGCAGTGTCCAAGTTGCCTTCTAGTTCTAGTCTTATCGTCTTTGTGTTTTACTTCACACCTCTGTTCCCCTTTCTGATAATTCAGTCATTGTGAGGATAAATCCATAAATATTTAGTTGACTCGCTGAAGTCTTGAAGATGTTTGCCTGAAAAATAAGCTGCCAGTTTAGAGAAATATAATAATGCTACATTGATGTTGATAGGCAAGGAGCCCAGATGAAGAAGCAGTGCTCTGTGCAGGGGAAAGTTGGACTTTCTTGTAATGGGTTGCTAAACCTCCAGGTGCTTCTGAGCCTGAAGAAACAGGCAGTGAGGGCAATTAGGGTCAGTGCATCCTATTGGCACAGTGTGAATATCTCTGCATTGGAGTTGGCAGGAGGAGGAATCAGCAGCAGCCCTTGGTGTGGAAGGAGGAGGATGATGAGCTAGCAGAAGAAGTCCTTCTAGGCAGGGTGCAAGGGGTTTTCCCAGAGAGCCTATTTCTTTGGAAGGAATAAATCCATGAATGGGTTAAAGAGCAGCTGCTGATGCATGTGAAATACCATGGATATGCAAAGGGAAGTTGCTGGCTGAGTAGAATGAATGGTGATCAGATCTGACACAGGATCACACTGCTGCCATCTTGGCTTTGTACACTATAATGCCAAATGTTTCTGAAACTCGTTCAACTTGTTTATTCAGTGTAGCAGTGAAATCTATGTTTTTTTACAGCTGTTGAAAGAAACAACTTAATGAGACTTGCTCAGACCATACCATTTACACCAGTCCAGCTCTTTGGTAAGTACTGAATTCCTGGTTATGTTTTTTGCTTTATAAATAGTTAGTGCATTATCTTTTTAAAGACTGTATTTGAGAAATTTCCTTGGATTAATTTCAGAAATTCTTCTTCTCTGAAAGAGATGAAATGGGACAGAATTGTGGTCATGCAGTAATTTAGGGACTTCTGGAGGTCATCTTGTCTCTCTGTGGTCAATTCAGATCAGGTTGCTGAGGCCCTCTCCAGTTGCATTTTGAATATGTCTATAAATTGAGATTCCTCACTTTTGTTGGGCAGCCTCTTCCAGTGTTTGACCAACTTCATTGTGAATCTAGTATTTTTCCCAATATTTGTTGGTGTTTCCCTTGCTGTAGCTTGTATCTGTTGGCATTCAGGTAACTGCTGTCAACCTCAGAGATGAGTCTAATTTTCTGTATATCTATCGTTAGGAAATCGGAAGACAGCAAAAAGTTTTCCCTTAACCTTGATAATTTCATTCTCTCTGTTTCTCTTTCACACACACAGACACACACGTAGATATACGTATAGGATATACCATCAAGAAACCAGATATTGATTCAAAGGACTTGTAGTGTATTGATGAAAAAGAACTGTGCTGTAACTGAAGAGTGGTAGAGAATAATCTCTAAATTGTTGGGAAGTGTTCTGAAATTAGTGTGCAGTATTAGCTTATAGCAGCAGAAGCTCTGCCTCTAGACACTTGAGATCTAGGTGCTGCCTTCCCAATGGGTAGAATCTTTTGTCTCACAGCAACTCATTGCTGCTACTTGCAGTGTCATTGGTTTTCTTGTGACCCGATTGCTGCAGCTAACTAGTATAGCTATGAGCACATTAAACATTCTAATCTTTGAAGCTCGCAGGAGATACCTTTCTAGGTATTAAACTGACAAAATATAATAAAATGAAGATTTAATGTAATATTTAAAAATGTGTCTAGTTATACTATCTTTAATCAAGTGTCTGTCTTTTATGTAAGACAATGACAATTGCTTTACCTTAATCACCAATTTGACTCGAGAGTAGGCAGGAAATCTACTAGTCTGAATCCAGTTTGTTGTTGCTTATGCCATTCTTTGCCATTTTGCAGATGTAGTTACCTCATCACACTTGCAAGTGAAAACCTGGTTCTTATGAATTAAGATTACAAATAATGTGAGTTGCAAGAAGGAAAGTGTGCTGGTTTGAGCTGGAGTAGAGTTAACTTTCTTCACAGTGGCTAGTATTGGGGCTATGTTTAGGATTTGTGCTGAACACAGGGTTGATAGCACAGAGATGTTTTTGTTACTGCTGAGCAGAGGTCACACAGAGCCAAGGCCTTTACTGCATTCCGTACCGCCATGCTGGCAAGGAAGTTGGGGGTGCATGGGAGACTGGGAGGAGACACAGCTGGGACAGGTGACCCAAACTAACCAAAGGAATATTCCATACCATATGACATCATGCTCAGTATATAAGGTGGGAGGAAGAAGGAGGAAGGGGAGACATCTGGAGTGATGGCATTTGTCTTCCCAAGGAACCATCACGCATGATGGACC